TGATAATTGAAATGACAGATCATTTGTCATTTGTCATTTGAGTCATTTGCCAGTCATAATCATTTGGCAAACACTGTAATAAGAGGCTATTAGTATCTGATTAAATGCCAATTTGTTATCATTAGACTAATGAATATTATTATGAATATTAAATAAATTTGATAAAATGTTACCAATCAGGATATGCTATTTGTATAATATTAATTTAATAAAAAACAATAAGAATATCCCTATGATGACTTAGGGATAATCTGATTAGAAGCTAAATATTAATAAATTGATATCAATAAGAATAACCTATTGATATCTTATAACATTCAGATAGGAATCTTATTGTATCCTATTTGCGTTATTATTCATCATCAATCAGGATCACTTGATTCTAAAAAAACAAAAAATAGTAGACCAATCAGTTCAAATCTAGTAATCCAGATTTAACCTAATTGGTCTTCTATTTGTTATCATTTAACTAGTGTTACATTTAAAATAATTAATTAAATTTGTAATTCTATAAATTAAAACCTAAAAAATAAAATAAAAAATCTAATGTTCAAAATTAAAACTATATTATATGATATTTTATATATAAAATTTAAAAATAAAATATGAATAGTCTTATCCAATATCATTATATATCTTATGAAATAACTATCATTCGCATTCTGTATCTAGACTAAAGATGAGAACCGTAATTAAAATGTTGCAATTTTTAATATTACAATATAATTTTAATCTAATTATATTACAACTAATTTTAGCTTATATTGCAATATGTTGTGTATTTTATTTTATAAAATCATGTAATATGTGATTTCATTTCAATTATTTTGATATTTGATCTTCCAAAATCATATAATATTTATTTAATTAATAACCATAACTTTATAAATACTATAATAGAATATTCGTTATAATAAATGAAGATTACTTATATAATATGTAAGATTATTTAACAAGTTCTATTTTTAACTTTTATATTATATAATTCAAAAGCTTTAATTTTGCCTTGGATTTCTGATAAAGATATTTGTTTAGGTTTAGATAGTTGACATCTATTTTAATACCTATTCCATATTGATAACAAAAAGTTAAATTGTTTATATATTAATATAGCTGCTATATTATAAAATTCAAAAGTTTTAGTTTCATCAATTTTAGTACCTATTCCATGTTAATAACAATATTTAAGCCAAAATTCACTTCAACTAATTCCTTTTTAGCTGCTATATTATATAATTTAAAAGCTTTAACTTTATCTTTTTTAGTTCTAATTCCATAATGATAACAATATTCAAGCCAAATTATGCTTCAACTAATTCCTTTTTAGCTGCTATATTATATAATTCAAAAGCTTTATCTTCATATTTTTCGATTCTAATTCCATTTTCATAGCAATATCCAACCCAAAATTATGCCTCAACAAATTCTTTTTTAGCTGCTATATTATATAATTCAAAAGCTTTAACTTCATTTTTTTCAATTCCAATTCCATTTTGATAACAAAAAGCTAAATTGTTTTGTGCATTAACATATTCCTTATTAGCTGCTA